GTGACATGTTCGTACGAACCCTTTGTACGAACAAAAGTAAGAGAAATTTAGGATAAGAATACGAACATGTTCTTGCATGAGGCCCAATGAGAGTTGATTTCGGCAGTTCAGATGGAGCAATCAGAGGTTCTGCCTCCTCCTGTACTTTGTCAGTTGGGTATTGGTGTCACAGAAAATTTACTGGAAGAGTTTGTTGGAAAACCACAACTAAATGTTATTGCTCAATAAAAAGCTGACCCTCCTACTGATCAAAATGAGTTCCTGACTTTACAGTAGAAATTCTTCACTCTACATGAAATGTTGCTCTGGGTTGACTTTATTAGTTTCACCTGTGTCTGCTGCCAGATGATGTAAAACTCTGTCTGTGCCTGTGTTGGTGTTCAGGGTGATTTCCCCTGGGATGAAAAGGATTTTCGAAACCTCTTAATAACTGTGTGTGGAGTCAGCGCAGTTCTCTTCTACCTGTACTTCAGAGACAGTGGCAAAGAGATCACCTGGAAAGACTTTGTCCACCGCTACCTGGCCAGAGGTTTGGTAAGGAACACTTCTGGACTTCAGAAAATGTGCCATGGTTATGTTTACTGTTGCACAAAATTATTATTTTGATAGTCGGCTAATCTTAATTATTTTTTTCGAATAATTGATTAGTTGATTAGTCACTGTTATTTCTGTCACACCCTTTCTACGTATATGCCTCCTGTGGGCACACCTCCTGTTCCAGCTCCAGTATACATCTCACTTGAGCATGTCACCCTGTTATCCAGTCTCTCTACCTTAAAGGGATCCCTGATTAGTTGTAACAGACTTTATTTGATAAACATTTATTTTAACTGTAAAATAGCTAGTTAAGCTAGTTCATTTACACGCGAAGCATTTTCTGGCTAAATAATGACGTGGATAGGTCCTCGGTGTGAGCGAGCTATATCCACCTTGAAGGTTAATCTTGGGCAATATCTGATAATTGGCTCTTTTAAATGAAACCAGAGAGCGCTGACAAGAGAGGAGAAGGTAGAAATGACTCAGTCTGTAACTGAAAATATGGATGGAGGACCTCACTTTAGCTTGTTAGTTTGTTGTGCTAGCGCTGAGCTAATACATATAAGGCAATAGCATTGGCGCTAAAGCTAACAGGCCAAGCTGAGGTTCTTCTTCCATGAAGCAGCTC